TTTAGGTCATCCTAACTCCAAACGAAAAATAAAAACTATTCATATATCTAATTAAAAATAAAAAAATAAGTTGTATTATCATAATTTATTTGTCTTGGAAAAAAGAAAAACCAAAAGAAATAATTATTATTATCAATATTGTACTACCATTCAAAATATTGATACTTTTGCCCTCCGAGGCTTGGTCTGGCGGTTGAGCTTGCTGAAGATGGAGCCTTAGGTCCCTGGTTCGAACCTTGCTGCCAGCAAGTTGTGGAGGGTGGGGAATAGTCTGTGGGGTCCACTCCCTGCGAGACACCCCTAAAAAAAAAAAAAAAAAAACCTTCGTAGCCTCCTTTTCTTTGCCCTTCAGGGCTTGGTCTGGCGGTTAAGGTTGATGAAGATGGAGCCTTAGGTTCCTGGTTCGAACCTTGCTGCCAGCAAATTATGGAGGATGGGAAATAGTCTGCGGGGTCCACTCCCTGCAGGATACCCCAAAAAAAAAATCATTTCATATTTGGTCAAATCTGTATTTTCTTAAATGTTAATTTTTCATCTTCTTTACTTAATTGTCCTTAAAACCGTTATTATAAATTGAAAGAAATGTATCCCATTTGTTAAAAGTCCTCTAGAGATTTTATATGAATTGCTACAACATTTAGTGAACCATTTTGTTTCCTTTTAAAATAATGGTTTTAAGGACAATTATTTAAAGAAGATGAAAAATTAAACAAAAAAGAAAATAGAGAGAGAGTTGGGTTGGGCAGTAAGATGGAAGGGATTATAAGTAGAAGGTCTTAGATTTAAAACCTCCTACTTATTAAAAAAAATAAAAAGAAAATAGAAAAATATGCAAATATTAAATTTGTTTAAAATTTTCACAAATAAATTTTAATGTATACGAAATATTATATTTTATGATATTATAATCACGCACAAAGCACATGACCTGTTACTGGTTACAATAAAAAAAAATGGCAATATGGTTGTGCCAACCTTTTAACTTATGAAACCTCACCAATTTTGTTGATGATAATGATACCGTATATGTCTGCAATCTCTTTAGCTTGTGAAACACTGTGTAATCGTGCCCTCAAAATTATGAAACCTTTCCATCCATGGCAGAAATGCTCCTCAAAATAATTCAACTTTATCAGAAGAAATCATGGCATAGTTCTTCCCTCCCTATAACTTGCATCGCACTATATATCATGCCCTCTCTACGACTTATGGAATATTCCTGCCACTGCTCATCGTGTAGATATGAACAACATCAAGAAAATAGAAATGTGAACGTGAAGGATTAGAATTTTTTTTTATTTCAATAATGACTACTACCTGATATTGGTTTTGAAATGCATTTGAGAAAAGCTGAACCTTTATGCATGAATGTTTGAATTATTTTGTAGGCCCATCCGCATGACCTACCTGATGAGAAAGTGATTGACATGGTAATGTCAATTATGATGAATTATTTTGTAGTGTTTTTCTTTTTCTGTTGCAAATGCCATTACTATCATCGTCACCATTCAATCCTTCGCCGACGGTTTTGTCCTTCACGTCGTAGGTTTATGACTTTTCGCTTCATGGAGCATAATAGTCTTGGAAGACTATAACGACTTGATGATATTTACAAAGAAAAAGATTTACCAAAAAAGAAAAAGAAAAAGACTTGATGACTTTTCTGGTTTATAAGAATGATTTTTAAAACAGAAATTGATAAACCTACAACGGTGGGTTCTAGGAAAAAAACCAAATGGAAATGTAATACGAGGAGCGAAGTTTATTATTTCGTTTATATGGTACAAGTATATATTAGATCTCCAATTATCCTCTTCACTTTTAAATTTTGACATTTTAGAATTTTTCTCCAAAAATAGAGACTTTAGATCTTACGGGCAAGGGCCTTTGTGTTTGAGGGGCTCCAGTTGGCGCCCTGTGGTGGAAGATGTTTACAAAATATCCCCCAATCATATTCATTAATTTGAAGGTATATTGTATACGTGGGCAACTTCATGCACAGTAAAGACGGTTTGGTCCTAGAAAGCGCGCAAGCAAATAAATTGATTTCACTAAAGGTCCTCAGCCGCACTTCCAGTTACCAATTGGCTGAATGGTGTTGGTTGGGAGGGGATGGGTCACCCATCCCACATCGAAAGATTGTGGGGTAGTTATCTTGGGTTTAAGGTTCTCAGTCGCACTTCCAGTTACCAATTGGTTGGATAGTGTTGGTTTGTGGGCTCCACCTTAGATTGTGCTTTGCACCAAGATTTCGATTACCTCTGAGTATTAATCTAACTTTGTTGTGTTGTTTCAATTAATTTCGATTGTTGAAAAAAAAAATAAATTGATTTCACTAGGAGAATTAGAGTTAATTCCAGTTTGCACCTTATAATTATATCCCAACTCTCACTTTGATCCTTAAACTTTAAAGCGAGACACTTTAGTTCCTAAATTATAAATTTTGTCCCATTTAAGTAAGATTGTTGAGGAAGTGGAACAGATTTTAGATTCGATAATCTAATTTATTCTATTCTACATGGAGGAGGAATCTAAGGAGATTGTATAAAAGGGTTAGCAGGTATACACACTCAATTAAATCAAATGAGTGTTCTGATATTGTTTTTGAATTTTTTTCATTGCAACCGACTTAGGTGGATTTCTTTTTTAGTTAAAGAGCATAGAGTGAAATTGACTCGAGGAATTATATCCTTCTATTGCACTTGACGTGGACGTGGGTGCATACTTTTATCAAAGTTGACAGTAGTACACTAATTATTGTAGATTTTTACCCTTTCTGCTATTTAGTTACGTTGCTCCTAGAATGGGTGTATGGAGGGACCTAAAAACCTAAAATCGGGAGGCAGAAATGAAGCTTTCTATTTTTGACATTTATTATTAGTGGGGAAACCTAACCACTTATAGACTTCAATCTTACTGCATTAGAAAATTGACATTTTTCTGAAAGGTAGTTTAGCTATTTCGATTTTTTTATTTTTTTTTTGGTAATTGCCTCCTGCAGTAATGGGACATTTATTGTGAAGCCTCTCGTACGCGAGTTGCTCGACCTAAACTTCCGGTCACAAAGTGGGATTTTATTAATTTCTTAAGGAAATCGATACAGAACTTGGAAGCTGCTGATCATGCTATCAATCGTTACTAGATACGTTTCTCTTTAGTTACCAAACAATTCCTTACGAATTTTTTCGGTTTTCTTTGGTTGTAGAAAAATCCAGATATTCAAAGTACACCTTTGTTGGCCTGATTTTGTTCTCTACAATCTCAGATCCTCATAAAATTGCTCCTGCAACCTTTGATGGCCCCCCGGCAATGCGACAAATAAAAACATGTCACGCCGCAGAGATAGATGAGACTAATAAAATCTCATCTACCTGCTTGATGAGCAGAGACAGATGGGACTAATAAAATCTCATCTACCAGCTTGATGACCTAGCGGTAATGCCGTTAATCGAATTAAGTCAAGTTAAGTATTTGATTCTCGAATTCGACTCGTGCTTCTATCGAGTCAGGCTCGAGTTTGCTCAACTAAGTGGACGAATCTTGAAGTGTGCTCAAGATCGGCTCGACGAATGGGACTTATGATTCGCTCGAACTCGACTAGTTTATCACATATGAGCCGACCTCATACAAGTTCGAGCTTGAACTCAATATCTCAGACAGTTTTTATTGTCAATTTTGGTGATATATATTCATACAAATGTCACAATTCAATCACACAAGTTTTATGAAATGACATATATGCTCTTTCTTATCGAATCCAAACGAGGTGCGCGAATAACAAACGATTCGAGTTGGCTCAACTCGTTAATTAATCGAGTATATTTTTAACTCAAACTCAACTCGTTTACTGAAATTAATGAATCGAGTTTGAGCATTATCGAGCCGAATCCATTTGAGTTTTCGAACTACTCATTCCGTTTAACAGCACAGTGGATGTGAGGGAAAGAAAAAGTGCCAAGTCTAAGGAGAATAAGGGGCCAAAGTGTTCTAACCTCGTCACTAAACCAAAAAAAAAAAGTCCCGCTAGAAAACAAGAAAATGATTCCTGCGGAGTTTTCTTGAGTTTGATCAACTATCACAACTTTGTTATAACTTTAAAAAAAAAAACAAAAACAAAAACAAAACCCGTAGCTGCTGGGATACATCGTACAACAAGTAAGTGAGCTCATTGCTTCTGATTCCCTACAAAACGTTTTGTAGTTTTTTGTTTGTTAAATATAAGCTGTTCCGTCTCGGCCATCCAAAATTATCAATACCCAGAATTCTAGATGAGTCTTAGTGCTGGACAAAGCTGAAAAGTGAGATTGAAAGCGAAATTGGAGTAAATTATTGACTAGGGAGGCTGTTATGTTATGTTCAATGATGGAGCCAGGGAGCTGAGGGGGGCATCGTGCCCCCTAAGTTTTAAAAATTTTAATTTATAGTGTGTAAATATATGTATAAAACAAATTTGCCTCCCTAATTTTTTATAATTTTAATTTATATTATGAGAGTTTATATATATGTGTGTGTGTGTATGTATATGTGTGTATATATATATGTGTGTGTGTATAGAATTAATTTTTTCCACACTGACCGTGTATACATTGTCAGTATTGGATGAATAATAACTATGTGAAATTTGAATTTGAAATTCAACTTTTATACGCATGTCATGAATCAAACGATGATAGTATATACACTGTCAATGTATATAAGATTTACTCATATGTATATGTATGTGTGTGTGTGTATATATATATATAAATTAACCACTTTTGAATTAAATTTTTTCTTCAAAAAAATTTATATATTTTTTACATGCCTTTATAATTAAAGATAATATTTTGATGTTTTAAGATGTCATATAATTAAATAGATGAAAATTATTTTGAACATAACATATTAAAGTAATTTTGTTAAGAAAAATTTTGACCCCTCAGGAAAAAAATCCTGACTCCGTGTCACTCGTTGTATTGTCTCATGTACTCATTTCCTTAATTCCCAAACCCTGCACACTTGACAGTCAGATTCGTCGAGCGCATAACGCTGTGCATAAGTAGGTACACATCCTCCGTTCATGCTTGCCACTCCACTCAAATCTCCCATCTCCATTTGCCATTATTCCGGCTTCCTTTGCTAATAATTACCATCCTGTAGAAAAATGGCAAGTTTTAGAACCCTTGTTCAAGCAAGAGACTTCACGTCCATCCCTTTTGATCTTGCTCATTTTAGGGATACCCAAGAATCCATTCAAACGGGACCTGACGTTTCAGTTCCCGTCATTGATTTTTCGCTGCTCAGCTCAACTAATCCTGATGAACGTGCCAAAGTCATCCTGGACCTTGGTAAAGCCTGCGAGGAATGGGGCTTCTTCTTGGTAATTAACCAACCCTCTTCTCCATTGAATTCATTACCATTAATCGTGAATTTTTTTTTGTGTATATATATATATATATATATATATATATATATATATATATGCGTGCTGTTGCTTGAGAATAATAATATCCATGCGAATGCTTTCTTACCAGTGTTGTTTGTTGAACCAATATTTGCTCTTTGCATATGCTAGTTATGGTTTTTATAACATATTGGTTGGCGTGCCTGAGTATCTCCATCCATGCAGGTGGTAAATCATGGCATACCGGAAAACTTAATCAGTGCATTGTTTAATGTGTGTAACGAGTTTTTTGACATGCCGGAGGAGGACAAGTTGCAATTTGACAACAAAAATCCTTTATATTCCGTCACGGTCAGGTCTGGCACCACTGGTGGGAATGACAACGAACAATTTGGTGGCAATGATCCCAACCAGCAAGTCAAGTTATGGAGGGATTATTTGAGGTTTTTCGTGCATCCAGAGTATCACTGTCCCACTAAACCCAAAGAAATGAGGTAGAGATGCTCTTTCTTTGTACGGACGACTACACTCTTTTTTTTTTCAGAAGACCTTTAAGTTTTGGGGTTCCAATATCTTAGCGAAAAGTTCACTTTTTGTCCCTAAATTTTGAGTTAGGGACACATTTCGTCCCCAAACTTTTAGACGCACCATATTTAGTATATGAATTAATTATTTTTTGCCACATTTAGTCCAAAAACGGTAAATTGCTTAATTTTGGATGGAGAAAGTCATGTATTTAGCATGTAGCCATTAAGTAAAAAAAAATTGCTTAGTCAAAATCAACGGCTACGTCAGCTTTCTCCATCCAAATTGAATATTTTACTATTTTTGGACTAAATGTGGCCCAAAATAATTAATTTATATACTAAATGTGATGCGTCTAAAAATTTAGGGACGAAATGTGTCCCTAACTCAAAGTTTAGGGACGAAAAGTGGGATTTTCCCCAATATCTTATCCATTAAACTAATACATACTACTACACTAATTTTCTGCTCATAAAAAAATCCTCGACTCCTCTACTCCTATTGTAGTGACATTGTACTGGAATATTCTCGAAGAACCCGAGATTTGGCGAGGAAATTACTTAGAGGGATATCACAAAGCCTTGGCCTGGAAGAAGATTACATTGAGAAAGCAATGGAATTGGACTCGGGTACACAACTCTTCGCCGCAAACTACTATCCTCCCTGTCCCCAGCCGGACTTAGCAATAGGCATTCCACCCCACACCGATCCTGGCCTCTTGACCTTTCTTCTTCAGAATGGAGTTGAAGGCCTCGAGATACAGAATAAGGGAAAGTGGGTTCGTCTTACTGGCATTCCGGGCGCCATTTTCGTCAACACTGCGGATCAGCTTGAGGTAAGTTCGAATTATATATAGTTTGAACGTGTAGATATTTAAATTGGAAAAAAAAAATATCAGGAAGAAGAGACTGATATTATACTTGTGGATTTGATGGTCATTAACAGATAATAAGCAACGGAAAGTACAAGAGCGTTTGCCACCGAGCTGTGTTGAATAACAAGAAGACAAGAATTTCCTTGGTGGTGGGCAATGGTCCATCACCCGATACCATTGCCGCATAAAACTCCACCCTCATAATGGTCCAATGGAATATGTGCAGCTGCAACAGAGTTCCAGACTCAATCCTTGGAACAGCTCAAGTTTCACTAATTGAATGAGCTGCTTATGATCTTTGTTTCCGGCGCCTTTTTCGTGCCTGCCTTCCTGTGTACGCTACATTTTGTGCTCCATACTTATTCCGACTAGCAGATGTTCACCATGCTTGCGCATGGTGGAAAATCATAATTATGCCCAACCCAGTTTTGGCTAATAGTTATAAATATTATATATGAAAAAAATTGCATAATATTTTTTAAGTGTGTTAATGTGTTAATCTTTTAACAAAAACTAAGTCATAAATTAGAATAATATTTTTTGTTATAGGATGTTTAGTAGGGTTAATCCACAATTGAATAATAGCTGGACACAGGTCAATTTTGATATTCACAGAAAAGAAATACTCCCTCCGTCCCACTTTGATAGTCCTGTTTTCCTTTTTCGTCTGTCCCAAATTGTAGTCCACTTTCCAATTGAAGAATGTAGTTGTATTTTAATTTTCCTAAAATACCCTTATTCAATGTAAGTTGTTGTTACTATAAACTTACCTCATTTAATGAGAGTTGATTCTTTTTTTACCATCAATTCAAGTTCCCATAAAGTTGTACTCTAATTAATGTGAGGGTATTTTAGGAAAATAGCTACCTAAATTGATTGTTCCAACAAAGTTAACTACTTTTTATTAAACTGTGTGAAAAAAGAACCAGGACTATCAAAGTGGGACGGAGGGAGTAAGTTTGTTGTATTTGAATTATTATTTACTAAAACAAATGTATGATAAAAGCTAAGAAATGGATAATTAGACTTTCACTGCTACTGAAGTTAAAATTATCTATTTATCTTTAAGATACAAGACTAACATTACAAGAATTACCATCCACATGAAAATAATCTCTATAAGAATTGAGCTTCTTATTGCCAACTCGATGTAGGTTATCATTTTTCCAATCATCTCACTGCCTTGCCTTTTCTTGAATAGCAACATCATCATCATCCTCCTCTTCACCACGTCTCAAGTCATCCTTAGGGCCTTAGCCAATGTGACAGTAGTCAATTTCTATAATAATCAACAACCAAAATGTGAACAACATTTTTCAGTAAAACCACTACAACTTCTGATCTAAGTAGGTGCATAGCATCTCTTAAAATATAATTGGCTTCTTGATTCATCATATATTAAGTCAACAAAATCGAAGTAGCATCTCTAACATGTTTGAACATTTGATGGTGTTTAGAAAACCATGCAGATGACCTATTAGTCTATTTAAAAACAGAAAAAAAGGAAACTATAGAAGGAAATAAAATAAAAAAAAAACAGGATGTAGTGTGTGTCTCTGATGTAGAGAGAGGTAGAGAGAGCATTTGCTAAAGAAATAGGGTAGGATACAATATAGGTTCTCAGGTTGTATTAGGAAAGCTGACTATGAACTCCAATGATTATAGCCTCGTTTGGAGACAATAAAAGCTTGGTAAATGGGATAATTATCTAGCACCATGCAAGCAAAAAGGTCCTCGCCCCCTTGCAAAAACGACCATTTGTTCTTGATCATTCCAAAGAGCTAGGGAGTAAAACCACCTAAAGCAAAGCCAACCAAAATGCATTGAACATTTACCATGCTCAAGAACAAACTTAGGGAATAGAGTAACCTTCTGCTATATTGCACAAGAGCCAAAATTTACAGCCTTAGAAATCCCTCAAATTTAAAGAAAGATGGCTAACTATTTTCTTTATCGATCAAAAGAAAATATATAACAAGTACTTTTCAGTTCCATAAAACTTACCATTCATCCACTAAGGAATGTTAGTAATCCATGACAAAATCTTCAAACATGCAACTACAACACTGGAAAAAAAAACTAATAACAAATCTAAAAGGAAAAAAAAGGTGCCAAGAAAACAGGATCTCCAACAGCGAGACATTTGCATGTTATTCTTGCTGAAGAAAAAATATTGGTTGAAAGGTTAAGGTATTACGTTTTAAACTTGAATTCCACCATTGATATATAAGAATAGGGTAGAAATTCACGTGAGAAGAAATTATCTAAAATTTGTCAATAATGGTCTGAGATGCTACGTGCCAAAGAAATATTAGGAAATACTGCAAGAGAGTAAGTAATTAGGGCATAATGGAAAGAAAAAATTTTGATTCATATTTACTTGTCAAACAATAAATTATTTGTTCAGCTTGAATTTTACCATTGGAAATTAAAAATAGTAAACAACTCACGTGAGAAGAACCTTTCAAATTTTTCCCTTTTTTCCTTTTAGACCTCCTAAAATTTTTCATTAATGGTTTGAAATGCTCTAAGCTCAGGAGAAAGTAGAAGAAAGAAAAAAATAGATAAAATATATGCGCAATAAAATAAGAAATGAGGTCATACAAACCTTACCTTTTAATAAATTCTCAAACCTAAATCACAAACTTTAAATAAACAATAAATGGACACATATTTCTGAAAAAAAAGTTCCAACAAAACCCACAAAAAATGAAATCTGTCAACAAAATTGTTTATGAAGGGAAAAAATTCTAGATATTTTGGGTACCTATATCAGATTTTTCCACATCTTAGTAGAGGGACAATGGTTCTTGCTCCTGCATTTGGAGAGACTGAATCAAAACAAAGAAGGAAAATGTTACTGAAAAAAAAGAAAGAAAACAGGGACATTAAACATAGGCAAAAAGGGTGAAAGTTTACCATGATTACATTTGGGGAAAAAAATGATTCAGATGACTGAGATGAATCAAACATCTTCCCCCTTCATCTTTCTTTCCTCTTTACTATTATTTGAATAGAGAGCTTGAGAGGAATCGACCATTAACGAAGAAGTGAGGAGAAATGGGTGAGACAAAGGAGTCATCTGCCTTTTTTCTATTCTGTTCTGGTGGGCAACCGAAGAGCAGGGGAAAAAAATTTGAGAAGTGAGAGACTTTGAGAAAGTTTCTGAGAGGGGAGGCGGTGAAACGTGTTACTTGGCACATTGGACAGAGAGTCCGAACAGATGCATGCTTTGCTTTTTTATGCTTTTCATACATACATGCAAAACCTTTTTCGTTCCAACTTCCAAGACAACAAAAGAAGAGCCTTTCTATTAGTCTCTTTTGGATTCCAACACACGAATATTCATCAAAACAAAAAAATTCTCACACAAAATCACGTGCAATGCACATGGAGGACGACCATGTTTTGGCATCCTCTTCCCGGTTTATATACATTCTTTAAATAAATAATAAAGATATGCCAGATTCCAGATTCCTTTTGAATTTACAGTTCCACGAAGATGAACAACTATAGAATGAAGGGCAAATTACATTTTACCCCCCTGTGGTTTACCCTTTTTTTACATAACCCCCCTATGGTTTCAAAAGCTATACATAACCCCCTCATGGTTTGGATTAAAGTGTCAAAGTGACGGAAATAGTCACTCGTAACGGAACTTTTAAAAATGTCGAAATTACCCTTATAAATACATGACACATTAACCCCGTATGCTTTTTATATTTTACCATATAACCCCCTTATGGTTTAGTACTTTACCATATAACCCCCTTATGATTTTTAAAATATACACATAACCCCCATTGGTTAATAAATAATTTTCAACTTTACATAAGGGTAATTTTGACATTTTACATGACGCTGTTATGAATGATCATTTCCGTCACTTTGACACTTTAATCCAAACCATAAGGGGGTTATGTATAGCTTTTGAAACCACTGGGGGGTTATGTGAAAAAACGCTAAACCACAAGGGGGTAAAGTGGAATTTACCCTAGAATGAAACAAACGTGACTACAAATCAACAGTATCATACACTATTAATTAATTCGTTGATATTCTGGTACTATCAAAGACAAGTAAATTATGCATGCTTTTGTTCTTTGGGTACCATCAATATTCTGAAACGTGACATAGAAAGTGTATACAGATCATGGAATGGAAGTGACTGAAAAATTAGTGTACTAAAACTAATAATAATTTTCCCCGTCTTTAAGAGATCATACTTACCCTAATGGGGGACCAAACGTAATAGAAGGCAAAAAAGTTTTTCTTTTATCCATTTCAGAAAGATTTATATGTTTAATTACTTCAGTCGGCCTGTGTACTATGATTCACACTCCCTGTATAAGTAGCTCCGTCAGAAGCCTGTATTGCTTTGCAATTCTCTTTTCCGGCTTAAAATCAACCATATATAGGTGAAAATGGCTTAATTAAGATCTCAGGTCCCTCCGTTCCAGTTGTGCTCATCATCTCACCTCGTGGACTATCGAATTTGAATCAATTCAAACATACCCTGAAGCTTCAATATTACCCGTCATTAATCATTTCTCCCTGCTCAGCTCAAATTACAATTAATTTTCCATGTAAATGAACTTTTTTTTAATCCAATTGCAAATGATTATAGTCTATGTTCCACATTTTAAAATACTTAAATTTGTGCAAGAATTTATCATTTATAGCATCAAAATTATTCTTTGGATTAAGATTTTTTTATTAAAAAAATTTTACGTTTTCTGTGAACATATTTTTTAATTACTTTTTTTATCTCACACACATCAAATCATTATAGTACATTTTTCTATAAAAACTTCATAAAATAACAATCAAAACAAATTATTCATGATTAAATTTCACGCGTTAAAAAAAAAATAGAGGCAGCAGCCCAAAGAAAGAGGCGTGCCTTTCGATCCTAGGTTTGGGCATGACATATCTAGGGTATAGATTACATCAGTTAACTTTTTATCTAATCCAAAAATTGTAGCCTAACTACAAAATATTCCACGAGTCTCTGTGGAAGCTTCCTGCAGCCTATTGTCATGCCGATTTTTAATGACTCATGCAGTAATGAAATTGTATCCCAGTCTCATTGAAACAAAGCAACTGCAGAATTTTTTATTGCTTTGTTTACCAATTGCACTTTATAGCTATGACAAATATTTTTGTCTAATGAAAATGTGATGCATATTTTAAGTGCACGATGATTGTCCAAGAATACATCTCAAGTTGTCACCTACAACCTTATATGTGCAGCACGCCTCCCTATTTCTCAACATTGAATTATTCAGCCTAAGGGAGCCATAGAAAGAGTTTATAACAGCTCCCCCTTAGGCTTCTACTCTCTGCTCCCCAATCTCAATCTGTCCTTTCCAAATACTACTTTTGGACAAAATTGAACTGGTGATGGTTGTGGCACCAATATGATATTTCATGCCCTACCGTTGGTGGCCTCCGGGTCCAATGGTGACTTCATGACTAGGATTGAAATCGAACTAAGATGATCCTTGAGTTTCAAAGCAAATGATCTATCAATTTCAATCCTAGTAATGAAGTCGCCATTGGAGCCCGATAGCACGGCCAAGGTCGAGTCTCTGACCACCTCGTGCAAAGACAATTGCC